GTGCAGATCCCACAGGTTAAGAGCTCAGTCCCACAACACCTCCCCTCATTTCAGATGCCAATTAAAAGTAGTAGGTCCCCAGGTTACCCACAACTTCTGTCTGACATGGCTACAAATCAGAGGTTCCCACTATCCCCCTCCTTGGATTCAATCATTTGCTACAACAGCTCACAGAACTCAGGGAAACACTTACTTATGTTTACTAGTTTATTATGTAATATTTATTATATAATAAAAGTTACCATTAAGGATACAGATGAACATCCAGATGAAGAGGTACATTGGCCCCCCTGTGGGAGGGTCCCAAGCACAGGAGCTTCTGTCTCCAAGGAGTTGGAGTATGCCAACCTGGAAACCTCATACTTTGGGGATTTTGTGGAGGCTTCATCACAGAGGCATGATCAATGATTAATTCAATTTCCAGCTCCTCTCCCCTTCCTGAAGGATGGGAGGTGGTACTGAAAATTCAAGTTTCTAATCATGGCTTGGTCTTTCTAGTAATCAGCCACAGCCAGGAGCCCACCCAGAGTTCCCTCATTAGAACAAAAGACACTCTTATCACCTAGAAAATTCCTAGGGATTTAGGAGTTCTGTGCCAGGAACAAGGGGCAAAGACCAATATATTTTCTATTATTTCACAGAGTTGTTACTCCTCTAGTCGGGCACCAAGAGATGGAGATCCCACTGGGATGTACGATCTGCAAAGAAAGCCTGGTCATGTGAAGGTGATAACCCAGCTTCCACATGGACCTGAGGCAATGAAACAAGAATTTGCTTTCCTGGGTACAGCTATTGACTCTTCTTGGGAGAACAGCCCTTGCATCCCCACCCCCACCCCCCACCCCCGGCAACCTTTGTGGGATCAGCTCCCAGCCTTCAGGGGCCCCTGTGGAGCTTCTGCTCTCCCCGCTCCCTTTTTCTCAGTCCCCTCTTCAATCCATCTACTCTTCCTAAGATTCCCCTTTTCTCTCCTTTGCTCTTCCTTGATCTCCCAAATCAAGATTCACACACAGAGGCTGGCAGAGGGGATGAAGGAATACTCAGTCCCAGGGGAGGCCTGGGGCGAACCAGAGAGCACAGGGGGTCAGTTCTAGCCAATTGCCTCTGCAAAGGAATGAAGATGTACCCTTGCCAGATCTTTCCACATATCTGGAGATCCTTGACCTTCTGCTTTGTATGACACTCTTTGTTTTTAGATGTTGACAACTAATTCACATATTTTTGGTCAGACCCAGGATCCAAATCTATCAAAAAACTGGTTCCTCCAGTCCTTGAGGAAGTTTCATTCAAAGCTTCACAAAAGGTGAGGAAAATATTTATATTTTTGTCTTCTAGGGGCAGCCAAATACAGAAGGGGGGGGGGGAAACCTTTGTATTTCCATATTGTATCAGTTTAACTTTTCAGAACCTACCAAGATATCATTACTATCATTATTATAATTCCACCTTTGCACAGTTCTGATCTTTAGAACATGCTTTATTCTAGTGAACTGGAAACTGGAACTTTTATTTGAAACTGGCAGTTTTAACTCAAAAGAAGAAACACCGTCAAAAAAGTCCACAGCCTTGCAGATGCTGGCTGAGCACTCCTCCCCGCTCCACCACTCAAAGTCACCTTTTTTCCAGGCGTAGCAGTGACAAAGCTTCCACTGCCCCACTCCCCACCTCACCCCCCGCACTGCCTGCTGCCACCATCCCCTCCCAAAGCACCAGAGTGCCCTTGCTAAGCTGCTCCCTGCCACATGGTTTTCTACCCTCCCCTCCAAGACCTCCCCCTCCTCACCTATCCCTGCGAGGGGCCAGTGGGTGGAGGCTTCCCTGAGCTACCCTTTGTCTGGGATAAAAGAAGGGGATGGCTAAGGGCTGTGTGTTGGTTTTCTGAGTCCCAGAATGATACAGAGCTTTCAGAGCACACGCCATAAACACCCACGAACACAGGCACGCCACCAAAACCCTACAATCAAGAGACAGCCTCCCTTTTCTTTCTGGGAGTTCTCTTGGGTTCTCCATCCAAACTCCAAGGCAGCCCTCCAAGTCTCCATGTACCCTATACTGTTTTTGTGCACTTTTTTCTTCTTTAACAAATACTTTTTTCTGGGAGAAACAAGATGGCGGCGTAGGTAACCGCTGTACCCGCCACCTCCTGCAACCACATCAAAATTACAACTAAAATACAGAACCACCATCACTCAGAGATTCCTGAAATCCAGCTGAACAGAAGCCCCACAACCAGGGACTGAAGAAGCACCAAGACCAGTAGGAGGGGCGGAGACTCGGGTGGATCGGGGCTGAATCACAGAGATGCGGCCGCGGGCGCACACCCGTGCCGCGGGTTAAACCCGGGAGGGAATCTCGGGGTGGGGGTTTCCCGGAGGAGCAAGGGGTCCCAGCCCCACAGCAGCCTCTAAAGGGCCCGCGCACGGACTCACTCAGACGCGCTCCCTCGGAGCCCAGAGCCGGGCAGCAGCCTGAAAGGACCTGGGACACTCGGGGAGGAACTAACCTGCCTGAGATCCGGGCGACAGCTGGAGGGGCAGCTTCCTCCCAGGCAGAAGGGCTGGCGGAGGCCCTTGCTCCTTTGGCGAGTCCTCCCCGCACAGCCGGCAGGCAGGAGCCATATTTGAATCGCCAGCACCTGGCTCACACCTTTGGCCCCGCCCCGTGATTCC